AGAGACCAAAAAAAAAAAAAAAGAAGGCTTGAAACGCAAGGGAGTTTAAGAACAAAATTGAGCCCCCCAAGTTTAGTGGATTGGGAATATGCAAAGGTTTTTGTGAAGTTCTTGAAAAGGTTTTATGAGGCTACCTTGAAGCTTAGTGCTTATAAGACGGTAACTTCCCATGTAGCCTTCCATGAGATGTGCTCTATTGTTGATCTCTTGAAGAAAATAATGACAAGTGAAGATCCTTTTATGAAAAAGGTGGCCACTTCAATGAAATCCAAGTATGACAAGTATTGGGGTAATATTAAGGATGTGAACCAACTCCTAATAGTGGCTGTGGTTCTTGATCCCCGTTAAAAAGTGGATTATGTCCACTTTAGCTTTGGTGATTTGGAAGAGGATGCTTCCAAAGTTAATGCGATGATAAGTAGGGTGAAGGATCTTGTAATGAAGTTGTACGAGGAGTACAAGAAAGAAGATCCAGTTGTTGCCCAAGCTTATGTGGAGACTAATTTCGAAGGTGAGGGGGAAACAAGTATTGTTGACTGTGATGAAAGGCTTGAAAATTTTATGAGATCAATAAAAGAGAAACAAGTGGTTCAAATTAGGAATGAAGTTGATAAATATTTGTTGGAGCCTCCTGAGAATCCTAAAAATGCTGGGTTTAATTTGTTGGATCGGTGGAAAGAAAACCATCCAAGGTTTTCGATATTATCTAAGGTTGCAAAGGATATCTTTGTTGTCCCTGTATATCAAGTGTTCCATCAGAGGCTGCCTTTAGTGCTGGGAAAAGAATTGTGGATCCTTTTCGGGCTTCTTTGACTCCAAAAACAGTGGAGACCCTTATTTGCTCCAATGATTGGCTAAGGGCTGATGGCTTTAACTTCAACAAAGAACCGACTGAAGATGAATTGGAATTTTATATGACTTTGGAGAAGATGGAGAAAGGTAAGGGCTGCTTTCTTGCTTTGTATTGTTTTTCATGTATTTGGTTTTGTTTTAACTTTGTTTATATTAATTTATGTTTTTCAATGTGGTAGAAATGGAAACATTGCAAATGATTGGAAAAGAAAACATATGTACCAATCATCAACATCAGTCAAGATGAAGGACCATTAATATGTTCCATTACATTTTTTGGAGATATTTTGTTTTTGTAATGTAATGGAACATATTAAACTACCCTTTTGTTTGGTTTGGAATCTAAATTGGGGTTGACTGCTCATGTTTTTGCCTTTAATTTGTATCTGCCATAATGGATGGGAACTAGATGAATGGCATGAATATTGCATGAAGATATTGATGCTCTATAATGGGATTGAACCTTTTATTTGATGATGGATATTTTGGAGGATGAATGGATGGCCAGCTTTTCTATGTATGAGATAGATGGAATGTGCTTAAATATGATTTTTAGTTGCCCAGGTTTGAGTAAAATATCATGTTTTGTGCTGAAAGAAATGGGCAAAATTTGAAGTTAACAAAATTGCCCATTTCCCCCAAACCAAACCAAACCGAACCATAAGGTTTGGTTACCTGAAGTGTTCGGTTTTTCACTTATGTGGTTCGGGTTCGGGTTGGAAAAAGAGCACACCGAAAGTTTCGGTTCGGTGTTCGGGTTGGGCCCAAACCCAAACCAATCCAACCCGAGCCCAGGCCTAACGACGACTAGTAATCGTAATACGCGCACCATGAGACCAAGAGGCATAATTGGAGCCATCCAATTTGTCAGAAGTAATTGGGGTAGAGTAATCACGCGAGGGACGGTCCTCCTTTGGTGTAGACGCACTGTCTGCCGCGCAAATCTCACGGCCTGGAGTTCCGGGCCGAGGGGATGTGCGTTAACACGGGGTTTCCTGCTTTTGGCGGGCACAAGAACCCTAAAAGAAATTAGGGCACACAGTAGAACACAGGTGGGCACAACACACACAGGTCACCAGAAAGTCAGCTCTGATGCCAAGTCAAACAATATGGTAGAATATTTTCAGATATATTTCATTCTCCGAAAGGAGGTATTTATAATACAAGGTTATAACCCTATTAGGGTTAAACTAGTAAATAAGTGAAATCCTAATTACATAATATCTATACAAATGGAAATAAATAAAAATCCTAATAGAATAAGAAGTATCTCCCTAACATAATATTCGTCAGCAAAAGTATCCCTAAGGACATTGATGGGACCTGATTGCTGTTGTGGTCTGTGTTCTCTTTGATATGTACCAGACTGTAATTGAACTTCAGTCTGGGGTTTGGATGCTACATTGACAGAGGAAGAAGCCTGTCTGGATAACTGGTTATGAAGTATAACATCTGTATCTCGTCTGGACTGGCTCGAACCACATTGTAGTTTATAAAGTATTTGTGGTTCACAACGCATTTGTAAACTCTGGACCTGAAAGAAATATGTCCCAAAAAATGAGCAAGTTTCCAAAGCCTATACTGACAAAAAATGAAGCAAAGTTTTGAGTGTTTGACCTGTGCAAACTATCAGCACATTACAAAATTTTGATTTTAAGTTTCTATAGGAAAAGTGTCATTAGAAAGGACTGTAATAATGTGAATGACAGGCATATTATTCACATTACTACAGAGGTTCCTTGTCATATTTTCCTACAGAAAAAAGTAGAGTGGTTCACTAGCTATTGGAGCGAATCGAGAGCATCTTTTTACCCGGTGATGGACTGGTTCCCTGTCTGTGTCACTGGTTACTCTAAATTGTGGTTCAACAATAAGCGTTCTTAGGAACTCCTGGTCATTAGCTGAAAATTCAGGTGGAAACGCATTGTGATCATTATTACTAAGGGAATTTGCAAGCAAAAGATCCCTTGCCCGCTCAAAATAGTCCCCATTTTCTGGTGGCCGAGTATCTTCCTGCATTTGGAACAATAAATAAGTGTTGGTTATTATTTTTTCATCTAATATATATAGTGAATTTGGGGAGGGGAAAATCAAACCAAGGACCCTCGTGTGCAGAGTGAACACTCTACACGCCCTTTGCAGCAAGGGTTGGTTTATTGGATGTCTCTTTTTCAGGAAATTAGAGTCTCACCATATTCATGTCATTTACTGGTTGATATTCGACATCAGATGCATTGTGAGTTTCACCTTCATCACAGGTTGTTGCAACATCAGCATTTTTCACATTATTCTTCAAGTGACAGAGAACGAAGTCCCTCTGCATATAATTAAGTTGGAAAACCAATTATGTAATGAAAGCAGAGGCAATAGAAAATCAAATGAGGTAACTTCTAACGCAAGCCGACATCTCTAAGTTTTTTGCATATTTACATAACAAACCAATTTGGCTCGCAGGTAGGGGTCTCAATTTCGAGCCATCTGTTGATTTCGAAGCTAAATTTCTATAGCACAACATGTATATCATATTGTACAAAAAAGAAAGAGAATGATTACCTGGTTGGCATTAGGATGGGCTTTAGGGATATAATACTCATGCATGACCCAGTTGGTCTTGTCGGAATTGCGAACTTGACCTATGTAAAAGGTCAGAATCCTCTTTTTGCCGATGACGGTTCTTCTCCTGTCTCGAGTCCTGATGTCATGTTCTCTGCCTGTTATCTTCCAAAAGCCTACCTCTGTGGTCCTCTTGGTCTTTTTTTTTGGGGTGTACTCTGGTTGACTGAAGAAGAACCCGCTCTCATCGTCCGGCTTCATCAACGATTTCGCTGCATAGCATAAAACACAACATTTGGATCGGACCCAATTGAGTTTGAGACTGATTCAAATGCAAATTACAACAAGTGAAGTAAGAAAATTGAAGAACTGATATTGTTGATAATTACCAACTAAATCCCATGGCTCGAACTTGAGGATATCAATTTCATCAATGATGCCTTCCGCATGGAAATCCATGCCCTGCACCTTATTCTTCAAATAGTAGTCCACCAGCTCTTCATCTGTGGGACGAAATCTGAACCCCACTGGCAGCGTCAAGTCACCTCCTTCTGCTGCTGCTCTGCTGAAGCTGATCATCTCTGTCTGTCCTATATGAAGAGAGAATGTTACAATTTGTTGATTTGATTAATTCAACTATCTATATGTTTCTGTCAAGTGTTGAGTTGTGAGAGGCAATTGGGAAATTGGAACGCTGGGTTTTTGAGATTAATGCGTTGGTTCTTCTTTTCTAATGATTAAAAACAACAGAACAGTACGGAATTGACTTCCAAGTCTTTGGCTTCCCCTGCGTACTGCTTTGCCTCTGCGGCTTACATGTCTTTGGAATTTTTGTCGTGGTATATGGTGGAGCCCACCCACTCACTCCCGCTCACGAGCAATTCTTTAGTATGACGGTGACATTGATGCTACTAAATACACTCATGTTATGTATGTATAATACAACAATCTTGTACGTATGACGTCAGTCCATCATTTAATAATCTTGTCGATCATCCAAATTAAACCTAGTAACATTATGTAATGATGTGATCGTGAAACCCTTAGTTTTGTATCTCTTTCTGTGCCAATATATATATTTCTTTATTAATCACATCTTTTACTGAAATATGAGACCATTTTCTAGGTGGATTCTATTTAAATGAGCAATTTAATTAGAAAATGCTCTATGATTTTACTAAAACTAGGATTGGCGTACCTAATCTTCCTAGATTGCATGATTCTTTGATGCAACCACGGTCAAATTTAGACTGTTCTTCGGCAAAAAAGAAGCAGACATGAGCCTGCATTTTTTATTTGATTGTGGATAAGTTTCTTCTTGATTAAGTACTTGCAATGTATCATCCAGCATACACATCCCTTCTGATCTTCTACAAACGATTGCCTGTTATTTACCATAGTTCCTCCCTATGCTGCTATTAGTTTTTGTCCTGTCTCTTGCTATGATTTTGAAGCGACAAGTCAAAAGCTAATCACATCATCAAGTCATACTTAGGATTTCAAAAATCCAGTTGTTTCTGGTAATCATAACACGCTACAGCTGACAGCAGCACGCATGTTCCAGCTACTTGCCTGAAAAATTTGGCTAAGGCTGGCAAGAAACAGTTGCGAGAATGAAGAATATCATACAGAAAATTCCCAAATCTAAATTGCTATTTTCTCTCTTTCCCAGGTCATACTTCCAGAAAATTGAATTCACAAACACAAGTAGCCCAGAAGGGACGTTTCTCTGTTGGCTATACACATTCCCTACAGATATGCAATTTTCCTCTCTGCTCTACTATATGTTTATCAACAATTTAAGTATGGTTTATGACTGAGAACACCACATCCTTTCTGGCGAGAGTACAACGGAGAGTCGGGCATGATCAGAAAGAGTATAATCTTCAGGCCATATTCCCTTCTCCGCCTCACGTGGGTACAGAACTGCGTTCTTCACGTTGAATCCAAGGGCGTCCTGTGTGCCTCGTATGGACTCCTCTCTACTTCCCTTAAGGTTTTCCTTTTCCTCTGACACTGTAGATATCCAGATCCTATTCTGCAATGTCAATGGTTTTAGGCACAACAAGATGTTAATAATAGTACTTTGGAATGACTATCACATAAGAGGGCAATGCTAATGCAAGTTCAAAACTGAAAATATATGAAAACAATATCCCACAATTTATGCATGCAAGGTACCTTAAATTCTTCATAATCAAGAACACCGTTTGCATCAACATCTGCTTGGATCCAGAGATCCCTTGTCTCCTGGAAACCCAGTCCCGAAGGATGACCAATTAAATTAACCTGCAAAATGCCTAAATGAGAAAGTCTTATCTTTCCATTTGAACTTTATTTAGTTTATTGGCTAATAGAACGAACCTGATGGAGTGCTTCACCACGGCTATCACCCTTCAAAAAGGCAAATGCATCATTTTCAGCCATTGAAGCTTTTCGGAGCTGGCGCTGGAAACCCCACAAGGAAAAAAAGAAAAAGATAATCAGCATAGGATGTGGAAACTGTCCACACAATTAACCAGAGCTTGCATGCACTATAATATAGAATGCATCATTTTTGAAGTTTTTCAAACAGAGTTTATATGCACTATATATCTTACATGAACTACGAGTTCTCTCCTTTTTGTGGCAAGGAATTAGAAGTAGGTAGAGAAAAGGTGAATGGATGATTTTAAAGGAACTAATATAGAAAATGATCAATGAATTGCTCACCCTTAATATACCAAAAACAGCTTCACACCAACTAGTCTTTAGTGGTTTACGTGAATTATTGGGATTACAAAGCCAAATGAAGTCGACACCACAGATGTTTCCCCTATGATTGCGGTGGCTAACCCACTGTAGGATATAAAATACAAATATTCAGTTAATACAACTGATGAGCATTGTGGCAGCCAAGTAAATCACTGACTTAAAAATTGAAATCCAAAAACCACCTACCTTGTGAGCATCTGCATCAGTATATTGATGAGCAGTATCATATGTTGATACAAACCCCTGAGATCTAAGGAATTTGTACACATGGCCACGCTTACTTCCATTCCAGTCACTGCAGCGAGCATTACGCAAAAGAATACAAATATAAGAATGAGCATTCTACACAAAAGAAATCTTTTGTCATGGAACATTAATTAACTAAGAAAGACAAGACAGGAGACTCACCCACAGAGTATGATGGGCATGGGGTTTAGTTTGTTTTCATTCTGATAAGATTCCACAAATTGCAAAATTTTGTAAACCTATTCAAAAGTTACAAGATATGAAGGTTAGTGTGATTCCTAGTGCAGCTATACACCATGATATGCACAAAAGTTGAACTTCATGGAAATTTTGAATACCTGATGCAATCTTACTATAGAGAGACTGGAATCGTGAGGAAATAACAAGTGCGTATTCACAATTAGCATTTCTTGCTGAACATTGCCTTTCTGGTTTTGTGAAAAGGGGGCAGCTAACTGAACATGTAACAACTGAGCAACACGGTCTCCAAAATCATTAAAGTGCAACTCTCGATAGTTTAGAACCCTAAAGCAGTCTCTTCGCACAGCAGTGAGCAAACCTGTATAGAGAAGATACAATAAGTCAAGCCATAGAACATGGAGTAGTACTTTAAACGTTCATTTCAATCATGACATTATTTCTGAGCTATAAACAAATTTGATAACAGTAATATTAGAAACCCATATAACTGATACTAAACTTAAAGACCAGTCTGCAAGTAAGGCACAACTCCTTCGGAATTGCTAGGCTAAAGATAAAATCCAGCTGATATTTATAGCGAACCAAAGGCAGAATAACTCCTATATCTTTGACTTCTGACAACATAGAGGGGTACGGGAGAAAATTGTGCTGGGGAAAAAACATATGAAAGAAAAACGCAATCCAAATGGAAAGTGTTGTGAAAAAGCACGCTGATGCATGAAACATGAATGTTCAACCAATCACATTAAACTAAATGTGTGCAGAAAAATGTAAAAATTTTGTCAGAACTTTCAAGTTATTCAGCATCTGTCTAATATTGAAGTTGGGATTAACATACGAATATGAACACAACCACGAATTTTACCTATGAAACAATGAGATAATGAGATTTAACTAAAATTGAATGATGTCAGATAAGTCCAATGTGATAAAACTGACATTAAGGGATCGATTAAAGATAGAAATATACCATCTCCACGGTTGTTCGTTCGCGCAAGCTTGAAGGTACTATAGCCTGCATCCCCAAGCCTCTCCAGGTACATATTCACAAATTCTTCATTTCCAACCCAAAACTCCTAATTTTGCAAAGCGGGGATAGTCAGCACAAACAGTCTGAAAGGGCCATGCCCTTTAAACCTTAAAGAAGTTCACTTTGTTCACAGATACAAGTCTAGACAGAAATTCAGCAAACAAAAGCAAAACGGTTCGCAAGTATCACCTGGAGACATATAATTGCAGAAGATTCATAGAGCAACCAATCCAAAATCCTCTGGTTCCTGGCCACCCAGAATGCTCTGAACTCGCTCTCACGAAGGCCTTGATTCTGTCTCACACACACCACAAAGAAATTGAGTATACAAAATCAAATAAAGTAAGAAACTTGGCAGAGTTAAAAGCAAAAATGGGATAGAATAAGACCTGTTGATCGAGTCTTTTGTAAATGGGAGCCAAAATATTGAAAGTGGTGCACGAAACTAAGCAAGACCCTGTCAAAGTCTCTGGATTTGGCTCTGTCATTGACGAAACTGATACACAGCCGCTACTATAGCTTCTTGAAAGGCTCTCACTTTCTCTAAGATTGAGCTTCGCAGCATTAGAACCCGCAACCTGAAATTCTCAAATTTTCAGTACCCAATAACTTTCCTGGAAACCAAATCCAATCTAGCCAGAGAGAGAGAGAAAGAGAGGTTTAACATTGACATACCATGTTAAAAAAATCCTTGCCACTGTTACTGTTGTTGATGCAAAAGTTGCTAAATTTGGAGTAGATTTTAAACAAGATTATAAAAGCGGGTGATGGGTTTGCTTCCAAATTCCAATCTTTCCTAAGTTTGTAGTTGCAGTCTGAGATCGAAAAGCAGTGCTCTAGATTGCCATGTACCGTTACTTATAGCAGACGCGTGATGAATAAAGTTCGATGGTTTTGTCGTCCGTGTTGAGGATAGAAAATGAAACCAGCGGCGGTGGTGGGGGCCAAAACCGAAGGTTCTGCTTCTATCTTTAAACGAGAATATGCGGAGGCTGTACAGCTAGACATTGTGCTGTAAAATAATTGCAATCTTATTATAAACCATTCCTCAATTTTATCACTTTATATAATGAAAACAACCATTTGCTTTGCAATATTTGTACCGTACTCCACCATTAACTAGCATTTACTTCTGCTTGAACAATGGATCCCAGCTTACTCATTCTGAGAATTTCTGACGCAAGTGTGACTGTGTAACCAAAAATCCCAATTAGCAATTGGACCATTGTGTGTCTTTTCGATGGACACAAGCAATAATGGGAATCCAACCTAAAATTTCGGATGCATTAATAAATGCGATAAATAATTTAAATTACAAATCTTTTTTAATAAAGAAAAATTTAGAGGGAAATTAACTACTCTCATTATCAACGCCAGGACAAACTTACAATCTCAAGTCGAAAGACTCATATGTGGCACTCAATTGTCAGTTGCCATCAATATAAATTTATATAAGAAATTACAAATCGCAAATCAAATATGAATGTTGGACTTGAACACGGTGGGAAATTACAAATACTTTGCGTATCAAGTTGTCACATGACATTGAATCGAACCCATGAATGGGGCACAAGCAACAAAAATATATCGCTCAGTGTCACAGAAATCTTTGTACCGAAAGCTTAAAAAAATGCATCTTTATATGTACGGATACATAAAAAGAAGAGTGAACGCGCAAAAGTTGAGAAGAAAGCGTGTCCGTGTTGCTGTCTGTTTGTCGGGCCGTCAGCTTTCTTTCAATCTTTTTCTTTATCAAATGGACTTGCTTAAACTTAAACCACTTGCATTACTTTAATAACATCTCCTCCAAGGACCAAGCCAGATGTCCCATTTTTGCACAGCGGCAATCTTTATACAACGAATGGGAGAACTGAGATTCTTTTTCTTGCCATGCCATAACGAGAAAAAGTAAAAAAGAAGATAGGATTAAGATAGGATTCAATCGTCGACTTATATTGTGTTCTAAAGGATCACTCTATAGTCTACATCAAATCTGTGTGCTCTATAGTTGGCCAATAGGATCACTCTATAGTCCATAAATCATAGTCTCATTCGTCATTAGTAAGAACACTCGAACTTGTAATCCCTTCTAACATTAAAACGAGAAGTATCACTAGACTATCAATTAGTCGGCAATTCAAGCATAAAGGCCAGACTTCGAACGTTGTACTTAAGGTTTTTCTTATATAGCACATATATAGTAGTGAGTGATAATAATAACAATGTAGAACAGAAACTTCTTAGATCATATCCAAAGCTGATATAAATATAATTCACAAAAGTTGCCGGCCTTCACCAAAGCTTGTTATAAACTATTCCATAGTAGCATTCGTCAGCATCTTAACAAATACGCACCCTCACCCTCTTTTAACGTTGTACTTAAGGTTTTTCTAATATAGCACATATATAGAGTGAGTGATAATAATAACAAGGTAGAACAGAAACTTCTTAGATCATATCCAAAGCTGATATAAATATAATTCACAAAAGTTGCAGGCCTTCACCAAAGCTTGTTATAAACTATTCCATAGTAGCATTCGTCAGCATCTTAACAAATACGCACCCTCACCCTCTTTTCTATATATTTATAGACTCAGCTAAAATTCTAATAACTTTGTGTTTTAAAACCTTTTGCTTAGAACCAAATTAAACTCAAAAAAATTAAAAAATTAAAAAAACTCCACCCCTCCTACTACTTTGCTAATCCATCACCAATATTTAGTTGCCAATTTGCAATCACCTACCAAACCCAACAGGCACATTCCCTTTGGAAGCAAGTTGCCTCAACCGGTCACCCTCCCTTATTCCTGCTCGATTTTACCTACACACCCACTTGACCTTGCCACGAAATTCACTTCTCATTACAAAATATATCTTCAATTTTGAGGCCGTTTTCTGTCAATCCCAAACCTTTTTTTTTACTTACTTTTCTTTAGTGCCCGTTTGGCATTGCTTATTTGGGGTGATAAGTGATTTTTAAAAAATTTTGGGAAGTCCAACCCGTTTGGTAAACTGTAAAAAAATCACTTATTGTTAAAAATTGCTGTGAGAGAAAGCTATAAGGGAAAGCAGCTAATGAGGTGCTGTAATTTTCTGATTATGCAGAAATCAGTTTCGAAGAGGCGTTGGGTTTAATGATTATGCAACAATTATTTTCTGATTTTGTTGAAATCAATATCAACAACACTTTTAACAAAAAATTTACCAAACGCCAAACTGCTTTCTCTTACAGCTGATTTCTTTCACATAAATTTTTTAGTAACTATAAAAAAATCACAATATAATAAGTCGATCATTTTTTTTTAAAAAACAATATAAGTCGATGATTGAAGAGGAGGTAGAAAAAGAATAGGATTATGATATATTATTAGTTCAATCCCATCAAAATGTACCAAGAAAATAAAATCCCAATATAGTATTTCTCAAGCAAAGCACATTGGAGAAAGCTTAAGTTGTCAAACTAATAGCAACACCATTTTTATTTTTAAAAAAATACAAGTGATAATCTAAACTACAGGGGGAGGAGGTTTCTCACACACACACGTTACCAAGGTACCATGAGTATTCGAACCTAAAACCACTAGACTGCAAGTCAAAACCTTTTTTCATTGGGCTAGACCATATTGGCTATAACAACACCATTTATGAAAATAACCTCTGGCTACATTTTTCTTAATATAAATGGTTTCCCTTACAATAAAATAAACCCAATAGCCATGTACGGATGAGGAAACACAAGAATAGTTGGTTGATCTTTCTTCATCCGGTTCACCTTTAGCAGAAACATCTCAACTAACAAATAAGCCAAGTTTCAATTTTTTTACAGCAAAACCCAACATTCATGTCCTGGGAGATATATACACATATATATAGATGTTTGTTTGTGAAACAAAGGGGCGCAGGAAGAAACAGAGTTTCAAAAGGCTAAAACTGCAATGAATTGGAACGTCTTACGACCTGAATATGCAGCATGGCAACCCGAATGGACCGTGGAAGATATCCGGTTAACATTTCTCAAATGTACAAGATGGCAAGCTTAAGTTGTCAAACTAATAGCAACACCATTTTTATTTTTAAAAAAATACAAGTGATAATCTAAACTACAGGGGGAGGAGGTTTCTCACACACACACGTTACCAAGGTACCATGAGTATTCGAACCTAAAACCACTAGACTGCAAGTCAAAACCTTTTTTTATTGGGCTAGACCCGTTGGCTATAGCAACACCATTTATGAAAGTAACCTCTGGCTACATTTTTCTTAATATAAATGGTTTCCCTTGCAATAAAATAAACCCAATAGCCATGTACGGATGAGGAAACACAAGAATAGTTGGTTGATCTTTCTTCATCCGGTTCACCTTTAGCAGAAACATCTCAACTAACAAATAAGCCAAGTTTCAATTTTTTTACAGCAAAACCCAACATTCATGTCCTGGGAGATATATACACATATATATAGATGTTTGTTTGTGAAACAAAGGGGCGCAGGAAGAAACACAGTTTCAAAAGGCCAAAACTGCAATGAATTGGAACGTCTTACGACCCGAATATGCAGCATGGCAACCGGAATGGACCGTGGAAGATATCCGGTTAACATTTCTCAAATGTACAAGATGGCAGGTGGAGGAAACCTTGGATCCGATCAATTGCCCTTACCACTACTTCTGTGACAGTGTTTACCCAGGAAACTACTCGCCTGCTGTGGATTTTCTGCTTCTTTTCTTTGCAGCAGCTTCATACTTGGCAACCCTGGTCTTTATGGTGATACACATATCAGGTAGAGGTCAAAGTTTTAGTCAGTCAAAAAGGTATTTGCTACCTTCCGGTCCAATTGCTCTTCCACTGATCATCTTGGCCTTAGCCAAGGGCCACCGGATAAACTCTGCCTTTCCTCTCTCATGCACCGGTCCAGCAATCCTCCTGCTGGTTCTGATATCTGCTCTAACCTTCGACAATGGAGCAGAAACAGACATCAAGTATGTGCTTTTTGAGACATCAACCATCTCTGGAATTTTGCATGCAAGCGTATACTTGGATTCTGTCATCTTACCCTACTATACTGGTTTTGATGCTCTAGTCTCATCAACTTTTTCAGGTGAGTGTGCATCTTGTGTGTGTCGTAAAGAGGTTTTGATTGTGGGAGGAACATTAATATCCTACAGGGGATGGTCATTGACCACTTTTTTGGTTGTGGGCACCCTGTGTTGGAGGATTATATGCCGACTCAGGGGAACAAAAAGAGGAAAGTTCATGCTGATTAGGTCTTTGCTCGGGAGCTCAAGCTGGATTTTGATAATCATAGATTGTGCTTATCTAACCACAAACAACCCACCAGAGAGATTGGTGTTGCGAGTTGCTGCTTTTGGAGGTATACTTGTTTTGATTTGCCTTTATGTAATCAGAGAAGCATGCACTCACATCACACAACTACATTCTGTGTATAAATGTAGAACAGCAGTTGTTTGCAACACAAGCAAGGTAGAAATGAGAAAATGATAAGAAGAAATATGAGTTTCCACCAATTACTAATCTTTTTCCAACATTCGATACAGAATTTACTGCGAGTCATAGGAATTGAGCAGCACAAAATTGATCTTAAAATACAAAAAATGTTCCGAGCTGATTTACTACTGGCCTCGGGGTAGCAACTATTAGACAGAGATTGCATTCCAGCAACGATAAACTTGAGCAATATTCCAAAGCAAGTCACAAAAAAAACCTCCTCCTGCTAGTGTCCATTTCCGGCTGTAAATCAAATGAGTAGGGGAAAAATATACATCCAACTATGAGTAAGAGATATTATCGAATACTTTCTTAAGATAAAAAACATGAAGTCAATATACTGAAACAAATTAATTGATAAGTGGACTACCTTGTGAACCCACTCATATTCCCCGCCTTTAGTATCAAAGGTCCCATGCTGCAGACTGAGTAGTTTAAGGGTGAAACGAGGGCCACACTCCTGTGTGTTTAAGATGGAAACAGTGTTATGGCAAACCATATATGTTTTTGACAAGGTACATTTATAACTGACATTTATAACTGTTTCTGAGAGTATATAAAGACAACTTTTAAATCCATGATTTCATCCTAGTAAACTGCATCCTACGAAGGCCATGTGTCAGTACTCTGCCTTCCTATTTCCATTTGTGAACCACACCAGTCACAGTGAAGGACCAACAAAGCATAAAGATATTTCAAGTAGTGGAGTGAGGCTTGGGCCAAACAGATCAAGATATATAAAAAGAAGTGAGAGGGAAGAAAAGATAAACTGATTGGCACCAACCTGAAGACGGGCAATTACTTTCCCTTGAGGTTCACTCTCACCCTTGGCATCCTTGGTCTTTTTACCTTTTGACTCAGTCTGTTTAGTCTCTTTCGCTTCAAAAATATACCTGAACACATGGCAATGCAATGTATTCATTAGCAAAAGAGAAGCTTTAGAAAAAATAAATAGTAAAATATTTTCTCATTGCAACAACTTAAAAATGCCAAAGAAGCACACCGATGATGCCGGAAAAATATAAAATCTCGCTGGTTGTGGAAAGTTACAACTCGCCGACCAGGAAAGTTTGGTTCTTGTGGGAAAAGTGACTGTATTGATCTGAAGAAAATGGATCAACAATGAAAACCATTAGAAGGGGAGAGGGGGATTAATACCATTCTTATTTAGATATCAAACAGCTATTAAAGCTAATTGTACAGGGAAAAAAATAGAATAGTACGTTGCACTCATTTCAATTTAGACCACGTATGATGAAGAGTGCGCCAACCTAAAAGTGCTAAAATGCAATGCATATAGTTTGGGAGAACATTTTAAACAAGATAAAGGACCCAACCTTCCAATACGATGACCAAGGCGTGTTGTAAAATTGTTTAATACAAGCTCGGGCTCATGACTGGTTGGATTTCCATGATTCTGCAGGTATTTCAAATAAAGAATAAGAAACAAAACAAAAACTCATATATGTACACACTATTTAATACTGTAGTTGAATGAAAATCCAAGGAGACTAGACAAACTGTAGGATGTATTGTTCGAGTGTTTACAAGTTTCTAATATGTATCCACTTTTTACTCTCCATTGGTGAAAAGAGAGAAGTTAAACACCCTTCAGCAGTATGTGCAACAACAGTGTCAACCACTAGTTTTGTCTTGATACAAAAAACGGAATGTGACCAACCTTGATATCCTTGCGTAAAACAAGATTTGAGAGCTTGAAATGGGCAGTAGGTCCAGTAGGTAAGCCAATTATTACAAAAGCATCTACAAAATTATTACAATAGCTGACAGTTAGATAAATTCACAACAAAACAAGAGAAGCGGAAGATAACGCTTCAGTGACTTCACCAACAACCTAAAAGTTTATCATCAGAATAAAAGCCTGCGAGAGCAAGTATTGACAGAAAGATTCTATAGAAACCTCCAGAAAGAGATAGGACCAACCTGGTTCCCTGCGATTGGTGTGAACAACAATTATAGATGTGAAGTCCTTCTTATTTGCAAATTCTACAATCTGCAAAAGATAGAAACATACATATATAAATTGTTTGAATTTCATGTTTTTTATGTTGGAAAGGGGAATTTTTAATTAAAGAGAGCACCTTTTTCAAGTCATAGGTTCCTCTTTTATAGTAGTGTGCATTTGGGATCACTGAAAGTAGTTCCTTTATTAAATCAGGCCCCCTCTGCAAACCCAAAACACAAAAACCATAAACCAAAGATAACCTACACAAATTAGCAAAAAAGTGGGCATGGAGGACAGTACATACAGAAGAATGGAAACGGCAAGTAGTGATTAATATTTTTGGGGTCCTTTCGCGCTTTAAAATCGAACTAAATTCATCGGCATCATTTCCAGCAAACAGCTGCGATTGAACACAATACAAAAAGCTGAAATTAAGCAAACCATCATTTTATTTTTCATGCATAAAGAACATCACTTTCAGATTTGCTACATTGCAAGGCAATAAAAGACAAGCAAAAAGCCAAGCACGAGAGAGAAACCTCTTCGTCATCGGGCTTACAAACAGTCTCATCGAATTCCCTGGTGTTCTCAATCGTCTTAGGGATCTTCTTCGCCGGAAGCTACAGAGTGCAATTAGCAACAGCAATTAGCTATATAAACCAAAACTAAAAATCAATCATTAAAATACCAATTCAAAATTCAAAATTACCTCCTCGCCGAGCTCCAGAGCGCGCTTCTCGGCGGCGTCGCGAGCCTTGGCCTTCTTGCGCTTCTCGAGTTTCTTCTGTTGCTTGAGCTTGGCGTGGATCGCCGACCTCTTCTCCTTGTTCTTTATCATTGAGGGCAGAATCTCCCTCTTCTTCTCCATTGGTTGTTCATCTCCTCCTTCACTTTCGCTTCGCTTCCTCTTATCATTGGCCCCCATTTTCCCAATTGCTCTATTGATTGATAGCACACCTTGCTCAGACTCAGATCACCTTCCTCTACCTCACGTTAGGGTTTTTGTTCGGCCACAGTAGTAGCCACTAGGGTTTATCTAGTTATTTCCCTCTTTTATTTTATTTTACTTTACTTTTTGGTGTTTTTTTCCTGCTGGATTTTATTTTATTTTATTTTGCTCAAGGCTGGAATTATTATGTCCTGAATTATAAAATAATAATTCCAACCTTTTGTGTGAATTTTGATACCCTCACTTTTTTTGAGATTTCATTTTCTTCACGTCTTTTTCTATTTTGTGTGTGTTTCTTTTTTTTTTTAATGAAAAAAAATAAAATCAATATGTGACTGAAAATAAATTCTGACTAAATAAAATCATTTGTAGAATTTGGAAAATATTTAATTTTCTGACTATATTTTATGAAGATATGAGTTTAAGGTCCGGCCCACAACTTTTAGTTTTAACCCAATAAGGAAATTAAAACCATCTATTTTGTAATGTGGTTGCAGCCCAAAAATAACAAGAATACAGATCCAACATCATTCTTTAAGGATCAAAAGCCCCACTAGAGTCCAAACCAGATGAAAATATTGATTGAGGACTCTTAAAAATGTGGCCTCCCTGTAATCAGATTCATCATGATTGAAACGATGGGAAAAGTTATAATGAGGAGTTTAAAGTGAGAAGGTTATTTAAGGAGGCCAATTCCCACCATCAAAACATTTAAAATGTTTAGGGTTAATTACTGTAGACGTCCGTGAACTATGGCCCCAGTTGCAATTGGGTCCGCGAACTAATTTTTGTGCCAATTACATCCTTTAATTAGACAATTAGTTGCAATTGGGTCCTACCGTCCAACTCTGTCAATTTATCTGTCAAAATGAGGGTAAAAGCGTGAAAATGGTTGTGGAGGTCAAGTTTTGTGGCTGGTGCTACCCTTTGAAGGCACCATCTATTCAGCAGCTGCGTGTTTCTTCTTAGATAAAACGACATTGTTTTGGCCTAGTCAATTTTTAAAAAAATAATCTGCCTCAAAACGACGCGATTTTGGCTTAAGTTTTTAAGAATAAAAATAAATAAATGGCATGAGCTAGGATTAATAAATAAATAAGGGAAAAAGTCATTTTGATCCTTATAATTTATTACTTTTACCACAAAAAAAACAATAAGATCCTTGTGGTTTCAATTTGACCACTTTTTTCCCTTTGGTTTTTGTCCACGGGTGTCGCCTAAGGATTGCCGCCGTGCTGTGCATGTGCCTGTGCCTCCACTTTTACACCATGACCTCTTGTGCTAATAATCTTGAATCCCCCACTACCTAGAATTATTCTTTACCAAAGGGCAACCCAGCTTATGGATTACCAGAATATTAAAGCCAGACGGTTTAGAGGTTGCAAATTCTACTGTCTTATTTGAATTGGTGTTAGTCTTCCAACATTGAGCTGATCACTATGGTAACAAGTTAAAATACAAAATTACAGAAAGTTATTTGTTTTGTGGCATTGGACCACATTCTGCATCTTCATCTTCAGCTGCTTGTGTATGCTTGATAACAAATAACTTTGGATCATTGCTTTTACCCCACAGTAAAATGTACATGCCAATTATGACCAGGACAGATCCCACCACACTGTTCAATAGGTTAATTATTAATTAGCAACAGAGAAATATAATCTCATGACAGTAAAAATAATATGTTTTGCATCCAAAATATATATAATTGAGTCAACCTTCCAAGATAAATTTGTTCATGAAAGAAAGAGAAGTCCACCAGAGCCACAAATATCTGAATGCTGGGTGTAAATGCTGCTGTGAATAGTGCACCCTTTTGCTTCACACACCATGACATCCCTACATAGCACAACCCTGATCCAACTGCTCCCTGTGTCGAACACACACAAAAATCAAATCGAATCGAATCGAACACATGTGCTAGCTAGGCAAAATTTGAAGGGTGAAGACTGGGCAAGAGATGCAGAAGAAAGAAAATACTCACAGCATATGTGACACTTAAGATCTCCAACTTTCCCTTCATAGCCCACATTGACATGGTGAGGTTCCTCTCAGTGATAAGGTACAAGATGGCTGCCTGAATGGCACCGAAAAACGACAAGATAGCGGTGCTGGAGTATTGAAAAGGGTAGCTCTTGCCAACTTTTGTTTGTATGAGGAACCATGAAGACCACAAGAGGCAGCCTGCCCCCAAAAGCACTGAACCAACTGCCCACCTCTCTGTCTTCTTAGCTGAAGTCATGTTATTGGCATGGTTTTGCATTTGAGTTGTGTCTTGTGAATTAGGGTTTGTTAGTGGCATTCCTTTGTACAATGTCAATGACAAAGCTCCAGCAATGCATATCAGCGCACCCAGGATTTTGGCTATGCCACCCTTGCTCTTTATGTTCACTTTCTCTAGCCTGGAAAGTTAATTAAAGCCAATTATAATGAAGTTAATTGCAGTAATTGTGGTTTAAGTCAGTAATTTATATTGTAATTCTCTTGTTGTTTGTACTTTACCCAAATGGTAGAGCCAATAGGAAGGTGAAAACAGGCACCATGTTGATGAAGGCACAGGAATATGTAGCAGAGGTGTATTGAAGTCCAATAAGAAATAAGTATTGTGTGAATGTTACCCTGAAGGACGTAAGTATTTGCCAAGGATTCTCAATGCATTATATGACAACATCAAATGAAAAATGAGATAAAATAAAATAAAATCAGAGGAACCTTATCAATTGGCAATGCCATTACTAACCCAATAAGAGCACTGAAGAAAAGTTGGCATATGATTCGAGATGTAAGCGCCGGTCTGCTTTTCCTGCAAGAATTCTAACTACACCTTAGGTAGTCGAACGAAACTATTTACACCATATTTACCGACTACGTCTTTCGCAGAAATGAGATGAACCCAAAAGTCATAAGTTGTATCTATACAAACAATATGATCAACAAATATATATGATATGATACATGTAACATTACTCTTAATAGATCCACAAAAATTTCTGAGCCGAATCAATGGCGATGAGGAATTGAGCAAAGTAAATATAGGTCTTACCTTTCCCAAAAGAAGGCAATAGGTGCCAAGAAAACAGCAGAAATCGACTGTCGGTAAGTAACAATAATCAAATGGTTCAATCCTTGATCCAAAGTCTTCTTCAGAAGTACATTAACCATAGCCAAGGCAAAGTTTATGACCAACATGGCAACAATAGGCTTCCATTGTTCACAGCAATTCATCTTAACTGTTTGT